CTGCTGAACTACCGACCTTCCACAGCCTGCAGTTCAGCGTCTTAACCACTTGAGCCACCACAGCTCCTAGAGAAACTCTTGGGCCTGCCTACAAGAGTTTTATAGCTTAAAAGTGTGTGCTTGTACTATTGTAACACTTCCACGTGTGTGGTGTGATGTGAACTTAGCATCCAGGAAGTGGTCGCGCCTTTAACATACAGTGTGGTGGAATCGTGTATCGGACTCTGGGAGACCCAGGTCTGAAACACCGTGCTGCCATTAGGGAGAGGCTTTGCATACAGGAGGTCCCAGGTTCAATCCACGGCATCTCCAGTTGAAAGGACCAGGCAGTAGGTGATGTGAAAGACCTCCGCCTGCAGCTGTGGAGGATATTGGGGTGGGGGTGTTGGGTGATATTGAAATATTGAAAAAATGGTATTTAGCAGAGATAATATAGCCCAGCAGAGCCTGAGTAAAATAATTCAGACTGAGAGTCCATGTGTGATTAAAATATAAAGTTTTTACTAAATTCTAGCATGGGGAAGGGTAACTGGGATGAAAATAACAACAGAGCATAGTCGGCTACATCCTTACACTACAAAGACAAAACGAGAAGAGAGAGATTATGGCTACTCTTCTTCTTCTTCTTCAGAACACCAAACAAAGACGGGAAGAGAAGCCATAAAATGGTAATACACCTTGATGCTTTAGTCCCAATCAAATCCCTAGATCAGGGAGAAAATTCCCAGGCATTCCTACAGCTAAAGAACATTGGTTACATGAGAAACATGTGACTTCCTGTGAGTAACATAAACAAACATTTAACCCCAGATATACTGAGTGTTTTCAACTTGTAATACCCAAAAGGGGGGCATGGCTCAGTGGCAAAGCTGTAGGTCCCAGGTTCAGTCTCCGGCAGCTCCAGTTAAAAAGGACCAAGCAATAGGTGATGGGAGAGACCTCACCCTGAAACCCTGGAGAACTGCCGCCAGGTCTGAGCAGACAGTACCGACCGTGATGGTCTGATCCAGTATAAGGCAGGTCCGAGTGTGTTCAAGCTTGCTGGCTGACCTTAGAGCTTGTCACGTACTCCAAGCATGACAAGGCTGTTTTGAGGATAAATTAGAAGCTGTTTTGGGAGACCCAATGAAGTAAAACAACAAAGAGAGAGAGAGTAGCCAGGAGCAACAACAATGATGGTCATGGTCAGGGGTCATTTCGTAGAAAAAGAGCTACGGGAACTCATTAGCATAACTCATTAGCATATGCCACACCCCCTGACATCAGGGGCCCGGCGGTGACCCTGCAGGGCGAGCGGGAGTGCGAGGAAGCCCCGCCAAGGCCCTCCCTGGCCCCAGGCTGGGGTGGGGAGAGGCGGGGAGGAAGCAACTTACCCTCCCTCTTCTCCTGCCTCCTCCTGGCTGAATGAGGGCCGGAAGCGGGGCGGCCGGAAGCAGGGGGTGGGGCTTCGTCATGTGCTCCGCCCCCTGCACCTCACCCGGGGGAATTGCGTTCCCCGCGTTCCCCCCCGAAATGACCTCTGGTCATGGTACAGTGTTCCCTCTAAGCTGAATTAGTGTGAGCTAGCTCACAGTTTTTTAGCCTCGGGCTCACACATCTTTGTCTCGGCTCAGAAAGGATGGCTCCAGAGCAAACTAATTTGTGCAGCAGCCAAATCACTCACCACTTTCATGCCAGTAGCTTACAAAGCAGAATTTCTGCTCACAAGTCTCCACAATTTAGAGGGAACATTGGCTCCGAGCCCACTCCGTTCAACTTACTCCAACCTCCCAGCCTGCCTCTGAAAGCCGATATCTACATGTTGCAGGTCTCCATCGTTCTGTATTTGTGCACACAGCTTTGACCAAGTTTCTTTAAAGAGGATATTAAAAAAAAAATACTTTCATTTAAAAAGTCATGGACAGAGAACTACTTTTAAAATCCATGCCGTGCGCTTGCAATTCAAAAAGGCGAAAGAATGAATGTGCCGTTTGACCAGAGGGAAACGGATCTAGATGTTCCAGGTGATTGTAGCTTGCACTTCCGTGAACTGCACTCCCGAGATTCTCAGTTAGTGCTTTACACAATGCAGCGAGACTGGAAGACACGCCAAAGGAAGTCACCTCAAGGGGAAATCCTGAAATAACAAAGACACATGCAATTTCTATAACCAGGAAATACTATTTTAAGGAAGAAGGGAGCCGTGACTCACAAAACTCATCCCCTGCCATGACCTTTGTTAGTCTTTCAGATGCTGCTGGACTCTTTTTTTTTTTTTTTTTTTTTTTGCTTTTTGTTGTTGTTCAGTCGCACAGTCGAGTCCGACTCTTCGCGACCCCATGGATCATCTCCCGCCAGGCCCTCCTGTCTTCCGCCGTCCTCTGAAGTTGGCTCAATTTCATGTTTTTTGCTACAGACAATCTAACATGGCAACCCATCTTGTTTTAAGAAATGGTATTTTCAGTGACCTCTAACTGCAATCACATAATGGTAGAAATAGCCATTTTTAGGAATAGAATTATATCAATAGCACAGTGGTGGTTCCTATATTGTAGAATGGTCTACATTAGGAAAGGCCCCGGCACGTCTGTAATTCTTTAACGTGCATAACAGAATTATTCAGGAGGGTGTTCTTGTAGGAGCAAAGCCGCAGTGGAACCATTCTGCGCAGGAAGGTGATTTTTATTAGGGATTATGCCTTCCTTAAGGAGCTGCGGTGGCTCAAGTGGTTAAGGCGCTGAACTGCAGGCTGTGGAAGGTCGGTAGTTCAGCAGTTCGAGACCCGAGTGCGCTCCCGTCTCTAGTTCCAGCTCCTGCCAACCTAGCTGTTCGAAAGCAAGAAATTGCAAGTAGATAAATAGGTACCGCTTTGGTGGGAAGGTAACAGCGTTCCGTGCGCCTTGGTGTTTAGTCATGCCGGCCACATGACCACGGAAACGTCTTCGGACAGCGCTGGCTCGTCGGCTTTGAAACGGAGATGAGCACCGCAACCCTAGAGTCGGATTCGACTGGCTTTCAAGCAAGGGAACCTTTACCTTTATGTCTTCCTTACAGGTGATGGTCTTGGTGCTTTGAACAGGTGTCCGTCTGCATTGTTCTGGTTCCCTCATCTCATTTTACAAGCCTGGACCACCTGCATTATTGCCGTACTAGGAATCTTCGTACTAGAGATCAATTTAAATGTTATCATACATATCCTGTAATCCACACACTGACTGTTATATTCCGTAATCCATTTAGTGATTGACTGAAATTTCCTCATGTTTGTAATCCATTTTGGGTCCCAGTGAGAAAGCACTATGAAATTGC